ATATAAAAATGTTTATTAAAGGCTTCGCCCCATTAGGTGGTATCCTATTTTTAAATGATATTCTTAACTATTTTTCATGGCATACGACAGCAAAGTTTAATACGTCCTTCTTCATAAACGCTTAAAATTCAAAATTTATTCAAATCAAAGAAGATTTTATATATCAACAATTTTTTTTTTTGCTAAATAAATTTCAAATTTTTCATATGGACAAGAAAACAATAAAGTTTATTTTTTGCCAATCTCTTTAAAAACTTCTTTGAATTCTTTCTAACACAAAACTAATTTGAAAATATAAAGTGGTTCCACTTCAAGCAATATTATATTGAATATTGTTAGAATGAAATTAAAATTATTCAATTTATAGAAAATCTTCTGAATACAAAAAAAAAACATATTTGATTTAGTGAGTGCACTGAAAAATGCTTTTAGTTATGGCAAAATTTTAAAATTCTAAATTGGATTCTAAAATATCATTTTGATTATTTGAAAGATATTTTTAGTTTATTTAAGAATTTATTAATTCTTTTGTTTCATTTTTCTTTTGAATAGGCAAAATTCTTTCATTCAATTGGAAAATTAAATCAAGACAAGGCCTTTAGGCGCAAGGCTATCAAGGTATAATTTAGCTTTTTAAATTTATTTTATAAAAACGGAAAAATATTTTAATTCTTGTATTCGAATTGAGGAATAATTCATAATAACTTTCTTTTTTTTTTTAAATAAAAATTTCTTAAAGCATTTCTTGTAGATAGAATTAAAATCCAAAACATCAAAAACATTATCAAAACCTATTGGAATATTTATAATCGTAGCTATAAATACTTAATTAAATTTACAAAAAAATTGCATAATTATGGGGGTGGGAAATTTTTTTGTTGAATTTTTTAATTGGAAAAGATTTTGAATTAGAAAAATAACTTTAAAAATTTACCAAAATAAAGTGAAAAAGTTTTTGTTCTAATTTTTATCTAAATTTTCTAAAATATCTTAGTGCATTACTTCGAAATAAGGATGCTCTGAGAACCTATATGAGTTAGAAATCAGTATAGTATTGCAGCTCAACTCTTTGTATGATAATTAATGCTTAGCCTAAGCAATTGTTCTAATATAAGTATAATAATTTATAACAAACACTGAAAAAAGTAAGAAAAACTCAAATGTTGAGTTTAAAAATTTTAATTATGAACTGAATAACAACAAAACAAACGGTTTAATGAAAATTTAATTACAAATGTGGTAATCTTGGAATAACCTTGATTATTAATTTAGAAGTAGTAGTCATTTATTTGAAAAATTTCCAATCAAAACGCTAGGTATTAAAATTTATTATATAAAATTAGTCAACAATCATATTTAAGCAAAGAAAATCTGCTGCCAATTAAAGATTTCAACAAAACTGTACGGGATTAATTCTAATTAAAAAGTGCATTCTTATTTTTTAAAAAACCACATGAAAATTATGCTTTGTCATAAGTAGTAATCAGAACTAAAAAACCTTAATAGGATTGATAAGATTATGGACAAGCGTTTTCAAACGCTTTCAATGCACCTAAAATTGCTTCAAATGCAAATTAATGTTTAATTTCAGTTAACGTTCCATATTATGGGTACCTGCCCCTGACATTTTTGATATTACTGATTTGCCTACACATATTCTGTTCCAATTCACAAATACCACTTTTATTTAAAGTCTTATTTTAAATTTTCAGATAACGACAGGCTGATCGAAATTTCTTGTCACTATCACTATAATAATTATGAAGACGAAAACTTAATCTCAATTTATGCTGGTCCATAATAAGAGAAATTTTTCAAAAATGTTATTTTCTACAGGATGCTTCTATATCAGCAGGATGTAGAACCATCCTGTTTTACATGGAGGTTCGACTATATTGTAAACAATTTTTTTGTTCAAATTTGCAATATCATTCTAATGGAAATGAAAAAAAATAATTAGAAAAAAAAAGATAAAAAAAATATTTAAATTTAATTTTATTGACAGCATCCTTGAATTTTAAGTATTAAAAAAAAAATTGTGGAGCAGTAAAAAAACACCAATAACGGAAAAATTTTTGTTTTTTTTTGTATATTAATTTAATTTTCATATTTCGCACATTTTTTTGATTTATTTTAAATTTATAATATCCTGTTTTCCGTGAATTTTCATTAAAAAATAAAAATAAAATTAATAAGGCACAAATAAAATCTATGAATATTGCGGTTACAATAAATTTAAAATGAGTAAATCAATTTTTCAACTAACAAAATTTTTCGGAAATCTATCAAAAAATTTATTTTCTGAAATGTGAAATTATTTTTTATGAATTTTTATTTTGTAATATTTTTTGTTCAATCATTTGTTTAATTTATTAGTTTGGTTGGTATGTGTGTCGATTAATCATACTCGTAAAATATTTTTTTTCTCTTTTTTTCCCAATTTTTTATTTCTTTTTAATATTAATTTAGGTTTTTTTTTTATAATATTATTTTGTATATTTTATTTTATTATTTACAGTTTTAAATCAGAGTATCGAAAACTTTTCTAATTTTTCTTAAATTATGTTCTTAGTCCTTTTAGATTTAACATTGAAATTTTTTAGTAGGTATGCATAATATGGTAAGACTTTTCAATTCTGAATTGAATATGAGAAATTCAAAATAATTACATATCATTTAACAGAGTCCTGTTTAAATTCTTAAAAGAGGATAACCAGTTTGAATAAAAAATTTTAACATACATAGCAATAAAGTAACAAAATTTAGTAAAACCCTTCCTTAAAATTTTGCAAATGTTAAAGAGTTCTATTTATTAATATAAGACAAATATTATACTTTAGACGCAGACATAACATTGAAACAAGGGAATTTGAAGTAATTTAGAAATATTATTGAAGTTAAATTTATATAATGGTAGCTCGGGGACCACTAATATGAATTTTTCAGTTTTACTGCATTTGATCAATTCAGGAGTTAAATTTCGAATTAATTTTTAATGTGACTTTTTTCATATAACTTGAAATTATTTTGTACTAATTATAATAAAATAAATTAATTATATTTTAATTTGGAAAATAAGACTAAAGAAATAATTCGAATTTTTAATTATGCAATTACTGTTTTTATGTCCTTGCAACAGCATTTTAAGTTCTGAAACAAAATTGTTTAAATGAATTTTGAGACAAAATTGGCTCCCATTATTACTGTAATTTTCTTACTATAATAATAATCACATTTATGTTCCAAATGAAAATCTTTTCCCAAAAAACCAATATCAGTAGATTTTATTGTATTTCTTTAATAAGAATATCGACAACTAAAAAAGTGAATTCCATTCTAAGTGGATTTACAATAAAAGTTTTCTCTGCTTCTGTGAACGATCTATAACGATGTGCATGTTCCTATAAATTTTTGTAAACCTAGATTTAATAGGAATTCCACAAACATGAAAAAAAAAATTTGTTATAAATTGTTCAAATCAAACAGCAAAACCAAAGTAACTGGAATATTATTTTAAAGTCATTTACATTAATAAAAATAATATTGTAAAACTTGTAGTATTTGCTAATTTGCATTTATAATGCTCGAAAATTTATAAGTTTTAACTAAGGTTGCAGCAATAATCACAAAACAATAAAGTTTTTTTTAAAAAGAGTTACAGTATTTTCATAAAAAAATCTATTTCTTCTAAATCTTCCTGGTTTTGCTGTTTGTAAAGCAATTTCTTCTAAACATTGCTTTTGCAAAATGTTTTTACATTGTTTTTGTATTGTTAGTATAAGTTCACTAAAAATGTTATTTACTATAGGTTATATGAATATTTCCTATATTCTAATATTTTTGGTAATTAAAAGCGGAAATTCTAATTTTAAATAGTTTAATTAATTAAAGTTAAAAAAAACATTTTTAGCGGGACCTATTAAGAAAATTATTTCTAATATTTTAATAAAACAAAATGAGTTTTTCCTCTCTTCAAAACTTATGTTTTTGAGATACAATAGTTGTATCCGTAACCTTCGATATGATAAAAGATTATTTATAAAATTTAACAAAATGAAAAGCCAACATAAATTTCATAACATACAATACAACTGAAAGTTGGTCGATACGAATTAATAACATGTCACAGTTAACACAAAAGAAAATAATACAAAAGATGCCAAATCGGATGATATCAGCGTCCAATAAAAAGAAAGTCTAAAGCGTGAAATGATTTGCTTATCAAATGGCTTCTTACAAGTCACACTTTAAATTATTTATAGACAACAAAAAAATCAAATTTCCCATAGGCAAGCTTCAAGGCAAGTAAATTTATTAGTTATTCTTCAATAAAGTTATTAAAATTGGTTACGCTCGTTTTAAGATTGAGAAATTATTTTGAACAAAAAATTTGTTTTGTAATTATTAATTTTTGTTATTTTCCGAATAAAATTCAAATTTAGATTATAGATTCAGGCTTACCATTACTCAGCATATAATATGAATGTGTGTGAACAAATGTATTATACATACTTATCTAAAAATCTTTTTTAAATTCCATTTTTTACATGTTCTGATACTCTGCTTTAAATTATTATCATTAAATATTTTCATTAATTATTAATTTTTATACTCTATAAAATATGACTACAATTATAATTAAAAATTTATTTATTTTTTTCTTTTTTTTTCAATTTTTTTATTTAAATTCAAATATATTGCTAAATATTAAATCTATAATTTTTATATTTTTTAATTTAAATAAAAATTTAACATTCATAATTATGTTATATTTTTATTTTTATTTTTTTTTTTTGTTTTTTTGTGAAAATTTATTATACATTAACAAAATTTTTAATTATATCTAATAAAATATTTTATAATTTATTATTTATTTTTAATAATTTATATATTTTATGTGTATATTTTTATTTGTTCTTCATATACAATACATACATATATAAATTTGATTTGAATTTATCATAATTATTTTTATTTATTTTTTTTTTAGTTTTGTTTTAATTTAAATCTCTTAATTCTTCACTTGTTTTTTTAATATTTTTTAAATTTTTCTTATTTTTTTTTTATTTTGTACAAAAAATTATTATTTTTTTTTTTTTTTGGTTGCTTATTTTATATTGTTTGTTTATTTTTTCATTTTAATAAGTTTTGTTCTGAAAATATTTGAAATAAATTAATTTTAATTAATTTCATTTTTTAATATTCACTTTACATTGTTTTTGCTCTCATTATTTGGTTTTTTCATTCTCTTCCCTTTTTTAATTTTTTGTATTTAAACGAACACAACTTTTTTACGCTCAATTTAATCAGAAAAATTAAAAAAAAAACATAATTTAAAAAAATATTAATTTTTTTTTTTTAATTCCCTTATATGCACTCGAACATTCGTACATATTTTTATAATGCGTTTGTAAGTTTTACGTTATGCATGTTTGTAAAATATTGCACAGTTTGCTATTACAATTTTTTTTATTTTTTTTTTTTCGAAATATTTTCTCATATTTTTTTTGTAATATTTTATAGTGAATGGTTTTTTTTTCTTTCTTTATTTTTATTTAATTTTTAAATTAATTAATTTTCTAGTTTTATTTTTATAAGATTTTCATTTTATTTTTTTTTGTGTTTTTCTTTTTTTTTTGTTTTAATTTATTTAATTTATACATAAAATTTTATTAATAATAATTTATAATATGTAACTTAAATTTAACTAAATTTAATTCTAGGTTAGAATAAAATATCTGAAATGAGAAATAAAAAGGATAACACTATAAAATTGTTTTTTTTTTTAAATAATTCTGTGGCCCACAAGCAAAACGTTTTATTCCGATTTAAAACTCTTTTATTTTTCTTTCTGTCGATTCTTGTCCAGTTTTAAATTTTATTTCATACAGAAATTATACAGAATAAAAAAATGTTTAAAGTCTAAAATTGGAGACTATTGGAGACTTTTTAACTTGAGATGATTCGCTTTAAGGTCACAGATTTATAAATAAAATTTTAATTCATTGTACTAATACTATTGCTGCACATAATATTCAAAATGAGTTTAGAATAATATTATTTGCAACAACTATAAAGACAATTTGTAATACACAACATAAGGGGCTCAGAAGCGAAGCGGCCTAACCCTCACTCGCAAAATTTTACTTTTTTTTTTGTTAACAATGTAATATATAAAACTATATGTAAATAAAATATTAAATCTCATTTATCTCGGTAAAAAATTTATGTGGATTAGGCCATTTTACATCTGAGCCTCTCACAACAAATTCATAATTAAACACTTACCTTAACATTAAAGTATTTACTAAAACTGATGGAACCAGTAAATTTTTAAATATCGTTGAAATTCGATCGGCTGACGATGTTTTCCGCCTAGATATTGCAGCCATATTATCACCTATAACAGACACAAGAAAAAAAAAAAACAATAAATACGAAAACAATAAAAACAAAAGACAAAAAAGAAAATTTTTATTATCCTTTTAAGTAAAATTCTATTGAAAGAGATTAAAATGGAAAATCTGTCATTTGCACTCAAATACAATACAATTATATTGTTTTATGCACTTAACATATTGTTATACATCAGACCGCTCACACACACATACTGACATTAGAAATGCATATTATGTTTATTTATAGATGGGAATGTCTAATGACAAACCTATGTTTTATTTTAAATAAAAAAGAAAATGGTGTGACAATTTTTTCAAAGTAGTCATTCATATATGGATGCCAAGAATTTTTAGGTTAAGAAGAAAAACAACAGGCTAACGAATTTGAATAAGAAAAAAAAATTTATACATCCTTAATAGCTATTTTTTACCTGTCTTTTATTTACATATCTAAATTAAAATAAAATGAAACCATTAGAATATTTCTGACTCTTCGGCGAATTTTATTTGACAAACGGAAGAATTTTAACTTGTGTTCCAATACACATGTGTATTTTAATAGATGAAAAGATTATGAACGCAACTTACATTTCACGGGAATTAAATACACTTTCAAGAAATTATATGTAATAAATTTTTTGGTTCGTCATGTTAGTTTTGGAATATCTAAAAGTACTTAAAGTCAATTTAAAATCTAAATTTAAGAAACGTTAGGAAAAATAGCAAATTGTTCTTTAAATAAAACAAGAAATCGAAAACATAATGACAAACCTGTTGAAAGAATTAAATAACTGTGAAAAGCAAGTGTTGATTAAAAGAAGTTTCCTAAAAATATCCAATTTTTTTATTATTGCGATATGAACAAAACACAGAAGAAATGAGCTGTTTTTAAATCTTATAATCTTGATAGTTGATAATTTAAGGCTAAATTATTCCAGAATTTTCTCTTTCAATTTACTCTACAATATTAAAATGGTGTATGTATGTATTTGTTTTTTTTTCTTGAACCATAAAACAATGAAAACTTATTTTGAAAATCTGTGAAAGACTTTTTATTGTAAAACCTAAAACATAATGAATAATATTATATATATATATATATATATATGTAACATCAAAATAAAAGGAGAGAGTTCTATATTTAATTTGCTTTCTCTTTTTCACTTTTATATTGTGTTTTTCTTTTGTATAGTTTGTACTACTGAAGAATTTCATATTGTATTTTATATTTTGCTTTTGTTATATTGTAAAATTAAAAATATCCTTCCGGCATTTTAAATACATATTGCACATATAATTATATGTATACCGATTGAAGTAATTTTCGAGTCTAAGAACAGGCAAATTTTAAATTTCTATATAATATTTAAAATAATAATACTATAAAACATAAATATGGCATTAAAATAGAAAACAATGTCTGAACAATCAACATTGTTCTATACATTTTACATTGTAATTGTAAAAGTAGGTACCTACTGTATTATTTAATAAATAGGCGGTAGGTATATAATCAGAAAATAAGAGAAAACAAATGAAATTTAATGGTCCATTTTACTTCATTTTATGGTTATTCCATTTTCTACATAGTTTTTTTCTTTTTTTTTTTTTGTTTTACAATTGTAATTGAAAATTAATTATGGAATAAGCTTAGAAAACCAAAAAGCAGGATAATTATAAATTTCTGTAACATTGTTATTAATAATTTATATTAAGTAGAGTGATTTTAATTTTTTTTGTTCATTCTGAATTTCTATTTCTCTACATTGTATTAGTTTTGAATTTAGCTTTTGGCTTTTCTACTTTACTATTTGTGTATGAATGTATTGTATATGTGTATTTGTAATACAAAATTTTATCAGTTACCGTTCTGAAAGAAAAAAATAATAATTATATAGTCTGGAAAATTGAAATAATATGAGGGAATGGGAAATTTAGTAAATGAATATTATTTACATTCAATAATAATGGATTAATATTCAAATGATTTGAATGAAAGACTCAACTATACGGTTAAGGATATTTAAGAGACTAGTTTAATGTCTAAATAATAAAAATAATTTTACGAAATATTCTTATTTCAAGGAACTTACTTACATTCACTTATTATGAAATTAATAAGTAATGTCAAATTACAGATTACAAAAATAATCTCCCCACTTTGTTACGTAAAAGCTGTATAATACCAGCCAAAAATTAATACTAGCAGAAATTCACAACAATTCTTTGAAAACTTTAAAATCTCACAAAGGACAGCAAGTACGACAAGTGTAGGAAAAGCTTCCAGTCCCATTTTTAATTTATTCAAAGTTCAGACTTTAATTAGAAATCGAAAATTTTTGGACCCAACTACTTTTGAAATTTTACTATTGAAATTTTGTGATTGTTGGGGATTTAATTTATGGAGTAAAATATGTAGCATGTTAGAATATTCGTTAATGCAATTTTTTTTCAATAAATAACTTTTTAAAATTCTAATTAATTACATACAGCGTCTTTATTACATAATTTTCTATTGCGAAATAAATGTTTAATTTTTTAGAATTTTAAGTACTTTTCCTGGTCATAAAGAAATAATTTTTATTAAAACATTTTTAAATTTTTTATTTAGTCAAAAATTTTAATACCCATACATTAGGATTACAAATCACAAAATTTTACACATTGGATGTCAAAAATGAATATGTCAAGTTTCTTGAGACATTTTCTATGTTTTTCTTTTGTTTTATTCAATTTTTAATTTCTACATTACAGAAATTACAAGAAACATAATATTTTTTATTGAGATAAAGCATTTTCATGACTTTTGCATTATGCCTTTTATGTTTTTACTTATTACGAATTTTACTTTAAGTAAAGTGAAATACTTTTGTTTCCTCATTATAGGGTAAATTTATATTGTGTTATAATAAAAGGAAACAATAAACAAAACTTAAAGAAAACAAGAATAAATCCTAAAAGAAGAAAAATAAAAGAAAACAAAAAATAATGAAATAGAAAAGAATAAAAAAAAATAGAACGAATAGAAAAACCAAAAGGACTTGTGTGACAGCATTTCCCATATAGTAGTTCTTTTTACATTAAATTTAATGCAAGCACAGGCCATGAAATTTCCTACACGTATTCTAGTAATTTACTAAATCTATGGATGATATACTCATAGAACCATAATATTTTCATATATATATATATATATTTATGCATTTAAAATACAGAATAAGTAGATATACATAGACATACCTGCTGTATTTATGTACAACTACATTTAACAGAAACATAAAATGTTATTTTTGGAGTATATAGGATTACTTTTTCACTTACAGTGAACCATAATCATTATCAGGTCATCAAGAGTCCATAAAAACTATCGAGACGAGAACATATTATATTTAGATACACTATATATGAGTAGTAAGCTCGGTTTAAAAAGGATTCTATCAACTTACTTACAAATTACATGTTTTTATTGTGTTTTCTCTTTTACGTTTTATTTTTGAAAAAAAGAGTGTGTTTTTTAGTAGTGAATAAAATGACAGTACCTAACACAATCTGTAAAAATGTACTTTTTGATATTATTAAAATATTATAGAAAAAAATAAAAAGGATTTTTAAGTCCTCTCGTCATAATTTAAGAAAAATAACAAGAACTTTAAATTGCATTTACGCATGGTGAATAAATCTTATTGTAATTATTATTACAAAAAGAGAGTAAAAATCATTAAAATGAAGACTATAATAAAAAAAATACTCATAAATTAAAGATAATTGATTAGAATAATTGATTTTCTACAATCCAGTATGAAAAGAGCGGCTATTTTCATCACATTTCCAACTAAAATTCAAGAGCCTTTATCAAGCTACATAGAAACTAATAAATAATTAATTTCGTTAGGAGAAGGTTGTTCAGACCTTTCCCTCTTCTCGATTAAAAAGGTAGTCTAAGAAATAGAAATATTTCTTCAGTTTGCACCACTCATTTCGTTGAAACCATAAGCTTAGCTAACCCTTCGGCAAATTCCATAAAATTGTTATAGTTTCTTCTAGTAACATTCTCACCGCAATAGTATGAAGGAATTATAAAATTTTAATATGACAATTATTAATTATAATAATAAAAAAAAATAATTTGTAGCTATACGTTTTAAAAGAAGGTGCTTTTTTTATAAAACAAAACTTTTGTTCTGCCTTGATTTTAAACAATTGAAAATTGCTCTATTTGATCAATTTTTTTAAAAACCCTTTTTTGGTATAAAAGGAAGGTATTGCGTTTCCACTATATTTCACATTCATACATTGGAATATTTAACAGAAATTAATTTATCATTGTTGAAGAACTGACGAAAAAATTTAGTGGACACAATCTGTCTCATATCTGTCTCCATCCCCCCTCTTAAAATATTATAGCTTTATACTTAAAAATTTTCAATAAAAATATATATCTGAGTGGCTTTTGCAGACAAAAAGGAATTGTTTAAATGCGGGGATATTCGGTTTCAGCGATTTATCTCTTATCCGAACAGATTTTGTTTTATAATAATAGGAAACTCTTTTATCCGATTTATTCAATTAAAATAAAAAAAATTTAAGACATATGTGTGTAAGCAGTAGGTGTCTACACCTAATTATTATTAAATCTTCCGCATTGGGTTAAAATTAGTGGTGTAAATGAAATGTGGAAATTTACCTTTACACCGACCTTATGACAAAAATTTTTTTGATATGTTAAGTAGCTTCTTGCAATATTTTGTCCTTTTCACTCCCTTCAAGCCTAACTTACCTCCCTTTCTTCTTGTCCTTTTTACTTCCCAATTTATAAATGAAATGTGTTGTTGCAATCAGTAAAATGAAATTAATATCATTAGTATGAAAGATGACGTCAAGTTCAAGAGATTGAAAAATGCAACGTTGAACATCGGTTATAACCATATAGTGGGTTCGCATACACATCTATTGAATACGTTTTATGCACTTATATAGTGCATAAAAGTTAAACTGTTCATAT